CCATAAGTAGTCTAACTTATTCGCAATTGAGTTCCAAAAAAAGAATGGGATCAGAAAATTATTTGAAAAAATAGTCAAATGTTTCCCCAGTATTCAAGAAATTCAATGCATACCAAGCAGAATAAATACCCCATCAAAGTACATCATAATCTAATTGATGAAGATCAGTAAGAAAGACAAAAATCTTTTTTTAAATATATATTTTTATTGATTTTAGAGAGGAAGAGAGAGGGAGAGAGCTAGAAGTATCAGTGATGAAAGAGAATCATTGATTGGCTTCCTCCTGCATGCCCCATGCTAGGGATCAAGTCTGCAACCCTGACATGTCTCCTGACCAGGATCTAACCGTGACTTCTTTGTTCATAGGTCGATGTTCAACCACTGAGCCATGCTGGTTGGCCGAAAAAGACAAAATCTTAAAGAAACCCAAAACAAAACAAAACAAAAAAACCAACCCCAAAAAACAAAAAGCCACTATTATATACAAGAAAACAAAAGTGAAATTTACTACAGAATTTTTTTCAGAAATAGTACAAGCCAGAAAATAAAAAATGACATGTAATATGCTGAAATAAAAAATTGCCAACCTAGAATTATAGAATGTAGTGAAACTATTCTTAAAAAGTGGCGAGAGCCCTAGCTTATCTGGCTCAGTGGATAGAACGTCAGCCTGCAGAATGAACGGTCCCAGGTTTGATTCCAGTCAAGGGCACATACCTTGGTTGGAGGCGTGGTCCCTGGCCTAGGTCAGGAATGGACATGTCTCTCTCACATCACTGTTTCTCTCTCCGTGTGTGTCCCTCCTTCCCTTACACTCTCTCTAAAAACTTATGGAAAAATATCCTCAGGTGAGGATTAACAAACAAACAAAAAAGAAGTGGAGCTAAAATAAAGACATTGTCCATACAAACAAGTTGAGGTAATTCATTGTCAATAAACTAGCACCACAAGAAATAGTTAAGGAAGATTCCTTAGGCTGAAGGAAAATAATATTAGATACAAACTCAAATGTACACAAAAAATGAAGAGTACTAGAAACATTAAATGGATGAGTAAATACAAAAGATATTTCTCCTAATTTTAAGTATCTTTATAAGAAAATTAAACACAAAAACACTTTCATTTTCAGCCAAGATGAAATAATAGGGATTAGATTTACACTTTTTTTTTTTTGGTCTGAAAGAACAAAAAAAATACATGAAATAAGAGCTCATAGGTATTGATGATCAGGAATCAAGGCCAGTGATCTCTGAGAATCAGGAAAAAATGAACTGACCCCCTATAATTGCTCCAGCTTACTGCCTGAAGAAAAACTTGACTGCACTGCAGGGAGAGAACCCAAGTAGAACATGGTGGTTTTCCAGAGTTACAGAGAAGGAGCTAGGTCCTAGCTGCTAGGAGCATAAGGAAGCCAAGGCAGCTAGAGTTCATAGGACAGAGTGCTAGAGATGAGAGAGAATTCTGGAGATCTGGCGAAGGTCCCCATTAAGTAATCACTTAAGTACTGATTAGCTCATGTGTGTAAAGAAACAAGCCAATGCTGGGAAAAGAATCACTTAAAATAATTGGAGGAAATAGTCATTGGTTCTCACACCAGGTTTAGGAATAGTGCCTCTTCCCACCAACTAAAGGAAAGCCTCATAACTTATGGAAAGCCATGGGTAGAGTACTCATAAAGATTTTGTCACAGTATTGGGGCAAAGTAAACCTAGATTAAATTATATGCTGGTGCTGCCTAACAATGCTTAACAGTAAGAATCAAAATGATAAAGTTGTTAGCAAGTAACTTATCCACATCCCAGAACAAATAAGCCTTATTTTAGTAATTGAGTTTGTTGGCCTAGCTGTTGTGCCAAGAAGCCAGGAAAGGCCTTTAGTGGGTCTGCCTTTACATGGTGCAGAGCAGGGCAGATCTGGGATAGGACTGGAAGGGAGTGGGCTTCCCCTGCCTTCCCTGGGGACTTCCTGCAGTGGCTCTCAGCCTCAGCACCACCACCCAGTGTAGGTAACTCCTCCCTTTCGTGACTTTTCCCTTCAAAGGTGGGAGGTGGGGCAGATTGGGAAAGTCTCAGCTGCTGCTTCAAACAGCCCAGAGGATGAGATGGGCAGCTCCAGCTGGTGTCCTGACAGACTGAAATGCGACACCTTTTTTCTTCTGATGAATTGATTTTTGACATACACTTCTGGAGTTACTCTAGTTTTTAAGAAAGTGTCCATTTGGGATGCCAAGAACCATTTGGGTACATCTGGGAGTTGTGTAATGCAGCTCCGGGCCAGGGACCACTCCAGGGCCCACTACAGTGGAAGGCTAGCTTCTGAGAAGCCCATCTACAGGCACTATCTTCTGCTTCTCAACCAGCTTCTCCCTGGGCAAACTCAAGGAGTTCCTGGCCCACCCAGACAAGAAGGGGAGGGAGACTACCCAAAGATTATGCTGGTGGTCAACAAAAACAAACCTTCAGTGCATCTGACAATTGTATCAGATCCTCTTACTTCACTTCTGTGCTTCATTTCAGGTTCCACCCCTTCAAAACTATGCTTTCCGAGTCTTGACTTGCAGAACTCTCTTGAACATGGTTTACCCTCATTATCTTTTTCTTCCTACTTTTTGTTGCTTTAGATGACCCCAGCCAGATTCAGTCCTAAGTGGGCCCCTCTTTGGCTTCTTTGGCCCCTCTTTACGGCTTGTCAGGACTGGTCTACAGTGGGTGGTGGGGCAGAGTTGGTGAGCATATGCCAGGAGGGAGCAAATGTGTTGCAAATGGGCAGGTGATGATGATGAGCTAAAAGAAATGCTACCATCACTCCCCATCTCTCCTGAGGTGGCGAGACTGGGCAGCTTCCATTCAAGGGACTTGAGGGCAACAGACTGCCACAAGGACCAGTGGTCAATTAAGGAATATGAGGACAGGGTATTCTGCAAGGACGCTGATAATATAGGCAAATTTGTTTAGGACTGAATATCTGGTAGGCGTGTTAGAGGATCTTAAAGGCCAGCACTGGGAAGCACAGGGTAGCACGGACATGACAGTAAAGACGAGAACTGATGATCAGAGAGTCTTGCCTTGAAGATGGACAGCAAAAGAAAACAGGATGAGAGGCTTGGCAGGACTGGCTGATACAGGCAGAGATGTCAGGTGACACCTGAGGCCTGAAGAGGCTGATGGCCCTGGTGAAAAGCTATCTCAGCAGTGGGCTATGTAATCTTGGAGGCCTCAGTCTCTGAGGGTCAGCACTGGAGATATTTAGTACAAGGTAAGACCAGTCTCCTAGGAGGTTTTTGCTGAAATCTTTGGGAGAGGGTGTTGGGTAAGCCTCAGGACACTCGCCTTGTAATGGGTCCATCTTTACCGTGTACAATCCAATGAGGAACGCTCCCCCATTGCACTGTAGAAAAAAAGGAAGAGAAACAATTCAAGAGGACCAAACCGAGAGAAAATTTTCACCCTGCACATACTAGTATATATAGTAGAAAATGACTTCATCCAAGAAATGCAATATTTCAGCGTTCGGTCATTTTACTGTTGGCAGAACAGAGGCTGGTGAATTGTCTGCAGTTACTTGTCTGAGCAAATGAGTCGAAGGTCTCTGAGGGACCTGGCCTCCATCTGTCACTTTTTGTATTTTAAAGAGAAATCAGTGATGGGTGGACTGAGCCCTCTCATCCCTGGAGACAAAGCCCAAGTATTCATGTTCCAGTGTTTTGTTCTCAGGATTGTATGTCTAGAAGAGTTCAAGACTATTTGGCTTTGGAGTGATTTTCTAATCTTACTTACCAAAATTTTTCTTTTACCAATACTAGTAAAACTCCTTCAAGTAATAGTTTATACAAAACCACGCTGCATGAAACAGAAAAAAACTTAGAGTTTTATTAGTATGTATTTATTTTATAACTTCACATTTATAATAGTTTACTTCACATATTGTCAATAAATAAAAACAGTGAGGGCATTTTCATGAGTACAAAACATGAAATCAGGATGCACTGGGTGATATCGTGCCACTGTGGTTGAACAGTATTGAAAAATGTAACTTAGGCAAATGATCACACATGATCCCCTTTTTAAAAAAAATTCTTTTCTTACAATCGCAAGATATTCTTCAGTTAAAATGATCCACAATCAGAAATTATAATGTTGTTTCAAAGTCAAATCACTAGGAATAGTCTAATTGGCTAGAATACTTTCCACAGAGTAACAGACACGAAACACTCACACTTACCATAAGAGCTAAAAGGGCTTCTAATGCAATGTCATCACAACTTGACTCACAGGTTACATATTTACTTGTTGTGGCACAACTGTTAGAACAATAAAGAGAGCATGCATTGAGCAGAAAAGCATCATGAAGATAATAATGTCTCCATATATTGAGGGCTTTCTATCCTCCAGACATCATGCTAAGTGCTTAAAAGGCATTATGTCATTTGATCTTAACATAACAGCCCTATTCCATTACCTTCTCATTTTTCTGATGAGGAAACTGATGTTCAGAGGATTTAAGCAAGTTTGTTGTACCCAGAGCTACCATGCTGTGCCACATCAACTAGCATTTCACGGAATGGTGGTCATCGCTCTACTAGCATACTCGACATCAAGGGCATGCATGGGCTTGATTTAAATACCCATGAGAAGCTACAGGTCCCTTAATCTATGAACATTAAGAAGAGTTGGGTGGTAGGGAGAGCTGTAGGAGGGTATAGGGAAGACAACTGTTGATGGGTGAAGACTTGGGGTGGTAAACACAATACAGTGCGCAGATGATGTGTTGTGGAATTGTGCGCCTGAAACCTGTATACTTTTGTTAAACAGTGTTACCCCAATAAATTCAATAAAAAGGAAAAAAAGAGAGCGAAGTTCAGCTACATGCTCAGATAGTGCAAGGGAACCTTTTTTCCAACGCCTGAAAACAAAAGTGAGCCTGTTGCTGAATGCCTAGGTGCTAAAATGTGGATATCAACACACTTGCATCTGCCCACTATTTATTAGAGATTTAAAGGGTTTGAAATCCATTGTAAATATGGAGCTTCAGAGAGTTCTCAATTCCTGCCTCGGCTCCACCACTTGTTAGCAATTTGATATGGAGGAGACGGCTTACCATCTCGGAGCACTGGGTTGCTGCACACATTAACTGCGACATGCACACAACACCTGGCACGCCCTCCTTTCCCCTCTTTGCCTTCTGTCGGCACTAAAAATCTTCTCTAGCCAGAGAGGCCTGCTCGCTACCCCAGCATGCTCTCCTGCAACATCGCCCTTTCCTGAGGGCGCTCTCACGCTGCGAACCTCTTGAAAGCAGGGATCAGGCAGAGTGTTGTGTCTTCGGGGCCCAACACAGTGTCTGGACACCTGGCAGAGAGGTAGGAGGAGTGCTTCCCAAGAAAGGAGAGAATCCTGAGGGTGGAGATGGTCGTGTTCATTTGGCAACTGCACTGCTACTGGCGTCATGAACTTATTTACACATGAGGTTGTTCAGCTTCCACATGGGAGGCCTGTCCTGATGAGCCTGTCGCTCTCTGAGAGCACGGCTGTGCCCTTAGGACTGTTACCTCCTTGAACAGAGCCTCTCACTGCTTCAGGGACACGGAATTTGCTGATTCGATAAAGAAAATCACCCGACAGGTAAAAAAAGCCTAGGTTTTCAGGTAGGTTACAAAGGATACTTTTTTCTCATGTCAATTCTGCTTTCTATGGTATGGGCAAACTTTGTCTCTTGGGGATATTTACAGGAAACGTGACATTTCCTTTAGGTTACTATATCACATTTGGAATTTAATATTTTGTTTATTGGTAATCTATGCTAAGGTCCAAGAAACTCTCAGATAATTTTTTTCTCAGAAAGAATCAAGACTTGGCTTGAATGCCTTGGTTTTAATCGCAGTCACTAAAGAAAAGACCATGGAAAAGGTCTTAGCCTGGTAAAGCGAAGTCCCCCGGCCCACGGGCTGCAGGCTCACTCTGACTTAGCTTTTAGTTATCAATCTCCTTATGCCAGTGGCCATAGCCATCACCTTCATCTGACTCGTCAGTATTCTCATTTTCAAAAGCGGCCTCTTCCTCCTCCTCTTCCCGGATCACCTTCATTAACTCAAGGAAGCCGGGGGCCGGCCCCTGGTCTTTCAGCTCCCTAAGCCTGCACCACAGGGTCTCACTGAGGCTCGCCCCGGCCAGCACCTGCTCCAGGCGGACCTGGTCTGCGATATTCCTGGGGATGGCGCGTTTCTCCACAGCCTTGCGGAGCAGCGTCTCCAGCCGCAGCACATAGGCGGAGATCTTCTCGCCTTCCTCCTGATAGGTCTTCAGGTATCTCACCTGGGAGGTCCGGCGGCTCTCCAGGCTCCCAAACACTTGCTTGAATGCCTCCAGACACTCGTCCACACTCACAGAAGGATTGTCTGCCTGCACTATGCGCAGGAGGTCCAGGGCGGGGCCGCGCAGGCTTTCCATCAGCCACCTTTTCTTTTCTGCCTCTGCTACCGGCCACTCTTTGACGATCTCAGTGGCCTGTTCTAACCAGATTTCAAAGGGCTCCTCCTCTGGGGCGGGCACAGTACTGCCCGAGAACACCCGCAGCTTCCGGTATCGCATGGGCAGCAGGGGCTGCGGGGCATGTGCTACTGCCTGCCCCACCACCTGGGCCAACAACTCTGGCGACACGCAGGGCACTGCGGCTGGAGACATGCCCTCATGCCCAAGGGCTCGGAACATACCCGAGACTGTCTGCCCCTCTTTTTCTAGAAAGAGGTGCAGCCTTTCAAGAAATTCAGAGTCCTGGTTAGGGGTCTTAAAGACCACTTTCCAGACGCCCCCCCTCCCCTGAACCTCACTGGGGATCTCCGAGACATCAGTGTCCCCCAGGAGCTCCAATAAGACGGCGCTGGCATTCTCTTGCTTCCTGAATATCTTGCCGAGCAGCCGGTACCTGCCCAGAGACTTTAACGTCTCCTGGAGAACCTCCTGGATCTCAGCCTCCTCACACTCCACTGGGATCCCCATCACCATCAGGGATTTCTGATCATCCACACTCATCAGCCGGCACCAGTCCTCCAACAGCGCCAGCGCCATCCTCACGAGTATCTATTGGCTCTAACTCTAGGGCACAATGAATTTGCAGTGCAGGTAGGCACTCCCTTAGGATTTCAAGTATCCTGGATCAAGTCCCGAACCCACAACCCACCAGGGAAGGGGTTTCCGGTCAGGTCCCTCCAACAGCAGCCCGAAGTCTTCTGGACCAGTAACCCTTCCTTGCCCAGTTCCTGCTGAGGTGGCAGGAACTCAGCACTTCCCCTTATAGCTCTAGACTTGACCCAAGATGGGTGGTTAGTGTCTCAGGACAGCGCCACTGTCAGTGGCTCTGTAGTTCCCCGGCTGCGGTGTCTCTCCAGATGCTAGCAGACTGTGGTGGTGTTGACCCTTCTCTGACCAACGGAGGCACGTGCAAGAGCTGCTTCACACTCTCCGGGTCTCTGAGGCCTCACCTCTCTCTAGTCAGTGTGGAAACGCCTCCACACGGCACCCAGGACTCCTGGAGGGACGTCGCACAGCAGAGGGCCTGGACTCCTGGTAAAACAATGGTCAGTTACCACACAGCCCTCTCCTTCCCAGGAAGCACCCACACTCATTAGGGACCGAAGTGAGGGCAGACGGGGCTCTACCCCACATTGCATTTGTGTCTACCCCACGGTCAGATCTCTGCTGATAGTGACTTTTTCTCCCTCTTGGGGACCCTTCTGCAATCTGGCTTCTCCGCCATTCACTCATCAGACATGTCAATTAATGTCTGAGCCCAGTTGTGGCCAGGACTCAAGATCCTTCCCCCGTGAAGAATGAAGTCAGGAGATGGCCAGATACCTGTTTTTACATTCCAGAATGTTCTGTGAGAGTCACGAAGCTTGTTTATTCAGCTTCTAGCACAGGTAGATGTCACCCAACTCTACACAATGTTCATGTCTGGGTCCTTCTTAGCTCCAGCCAAGCCAAGCGGTCCTGTTACACATAAATAGTAATGCTGTGTTTTCATTGCTCAATAATATCCAATAATCAAGACTTTTAATGCACTTACTGAAAATATAACAATCCTTCACAATGTAATTAAATCTACTAAACAATATAATTACTTCACTTCTTTGATTAAAAAATACAATTAGAAATCACTCTAACATTTAAAACCAATATCAGTATAACAATATAGCATATAATACACTTTAATATGATAATATAGACATAACAATTTAATATAGGCCTAATAATTTTTTAAAATCTCAGGGCCGAGCTTGGCCAGTGTGGCTCTGTGATTGAGTGTCGACCTATGAACCAGGAGGTCATGGTTCGATTCCCGGTCAGGACACATGCCTGGGCTGCAAGTTCGATCCCCAGCGGGGGCTGTGCAGGAGGCAGCCTATCAATGATTCTCACTCATCATTGATGCTTCTATCTCTCTCTCCCTCTCCCTTCCTTTCTCTGAAATCAATAAAAATATATTTCAAAAAAATCTCAGGGCTGAATAAGTTAAACCTGGAATTATGAATTCATTCTCTTTTGTTATGTCTGGGCAGGCTTTGCAAATGCAAAAGGAGGTGTTACTTTGCTGTGGATGTTAGGTTACTAACATGACACTTTCTTCATAGCATTTGAACTTGAATGGGAGTCATTTGAAGAAAAAGGGAAAGAGGAAGGATATGGAGAACCAGTGGAGAATGGGTAATGTGAAAGGGGAAGAGTGCCTACCACCTCCACTTACTGCTGTGGGGTGGGTGTTGGGGCCCTGGCCACGCCTCCCCAGGCCTGAAAACCTCCATCACGCCCCGTGGGCTTTATATGCCACAGATGCCAACTTGTCACCATCGAGGCAGCTGCTCCTGCTGCGGGCACCTTTCCCCAGTCCCGTCTGGGTGGCTCGGAAGGCATGGTGCGTGCCCCAGGGCAAGGAGGACAAAGAGAAGGATCACACCTGGCCCAGCAACCCCAGGGATCTGAGTCCAGTGACTTCTCGAGGCCCTGCTAATGTATGAGGGTGACTTCCTCTTCACTGTGGTACTTCAAGGACACATGAGATATAAAAAGGCATCCAGTGCCCAGGAAGAAATATCTTCACGGTGTACGTAGTAACTGCTTTCCTGAGGTTAGGATACTCTGGGTGGCTTCTTCCTCCAAAGGCAATCTCTCCCTGCAAGGCGACCTTCAAATACAAAGATGGCAACTGAACCATGGTCCTCGCTACACGGATTGAAATATTTGGTTATGAAGAAAAGGGGAAATCTTGTACATTCTAAAGTAAAGATAGAATTAGTTGGAAAAGGAACCAGACTTTCAGGTGGAAGATCCCCACTGGGCTTGTTGGATCATTGAATTAGATAGTGACCCTGGGCAAAGCGCCTCAATCTCTCTAAATCTCGGTCTCCTACCCTGGAAAACAGCAATGGTAACGCACTCAGCGCATTCATCACACTCATCTTCCGGGGCTGCGGTGAGTAGGAAATGATGCCATTCGTGTGGAAGCACTTTATTCAAATGGAAAGCACATCCGGCTTGAAGTCCGAATGCCGGCTTCTGCGTCTCTCGGCCCTCACAGTATTCCTCTTTCCTCTTCCTCCCCTTCTCAGCAGAAGACTCCTCTCCCTACCCCCATCATGATGGGCTCACCCTAAAACTGTAACTGGCAGTCCTCCAAATTTAACTCCTTTCCCAACGGGGGGGGTGGGGTGGGAGTATCCCCATTTAATCCTTCCAGGGGCAAGGGCTGAGATGGGACAGAATCCCTGGTCCCTCTGTCCAGCGTGATGACCCTGCAGCAAAGGGCCCCTTTTAGCCCAAACCCATCCTAATTACTGAGCATGCCCAGACCTCCCTCTTGAGGCGCCAAAGGATGGGCAACATCTCTGCACAATTTTGACAGCGGAGGGGGGGGGCGGGGCCGCAATCTACTAGATGGAGGAACTGGTACTGATGCAGGGAAAGGCATGGGGATGCCAGTGAGAATCCACCCGGGACGCGTTAGTGGCACAAATCCCCACACAGCGTTAGCCTGCTTCGCCACACACAATGCACTCATCACAGCCCCCATCTTCTACCCCACTCTGGGCACGCGCCCCGCACTTAGGTCTCCAGCACGCAGCTCTGGCGCAGTGCGCAACAGGGGTGGGTGGGGGTACCGGACCGGGAAGGCCTGGTGATTTAGGGACTGGGCTACAATTTGCGCCTTTTCATACCCTTTCAAAACACTCCTCTGCGCCCTTTTTTGTGGCGCAGTTAGCGGTACGTGGCCCCCCGCACTGCCTGCACCCTCGCTCACTATATATCAGTTGTTGTGCTGGGCTGGAATTTGCAGACTGCATTCTTGGTTACACTCCCAGGGGCCCGCAGATCTATGTCTCTTTGTACCACCCTCCCCTCCCCCCATCATTTGCTACGTCCCTCGGCATTTCTCTCGGCCACGCTGTGCGCCCCCCCGACCCCCCTCCCACACCTCAGTGGATGAACTAAGTGGGAACCCTCTCGTTTCCATCTCTGCTCCCAAAGCCTGTGGGTGGACTGAAGCTCTGGGGGCCCAGGCGTCGCACAGCCCCAACCTCTGCGGGGCCTGCGTCATCCCTTCTCCATCCTCAATGAGGCCCCTTCCTCTCTCCCCGGGCGTCCTGGCGCCAGCCAGTTCGCCACCCCTTTCGCACCATCCGCTCACCCCCGGGTAAGGGGGCAGGGGCCCTCCCCGCCGCCCTCGCCCCTGGCCCACCTCCGAAATGCGGTCGCGGGAGGCGCGGGGCCGGGCAGGTGGAGGCGGAGGGCGCGTTGGCCAGGGCCTGCGCCCTCTCATCTTCGTCCCCGCGCGCCTGCCCCTACTCACCCGGGAGCCGAGAGCGGTCAGCGGGCCCTCCGCTCCGCTTCCATTAGCCGGTGATCTGGCTGCTTCACTTCCGGAGCGCGGGGCTCCGGGCAGCGCGGCCCTCCCTCTCCCCCTCCCTCTGCAGCTCCCACCCCGGCGCCCCGCCCCGCCCCGCCCCGCCCCGCCTCCCTCCGTCCGCCGCTGCCGGGAACTGGCAGCCTCTCCTTCGCGCTGCCGCAGCGGCCGCCCAGCCAAACCCAACTTTGCAGCTCGCGGGCGGCGGCGGGGGCGTGGGCAGGGGGAGCTAGCGGGTCAGGAGGAGGGGCCGGAGGGAGGGTCGCCCGCTCGCCAGCCCTCCTTCCTTTCTGTGCACCTTGCGGTAGGCAGAGCGCGGCGGTGGCGGCGGCAGCCGGGGGCTGTGCTCAGGCAGGCGGACCTAGGGACCGCAGACGGGCGGACAGACGGAGGGACCCTCCCCGAGCCCCGCACCATGGCCGAGAGGAAGCAGTCCGGGAAGGCGGCAGAGGACGAAGAGGTCCCTGCCTTTTTTAAGAACCTGGGTTCAGGAAGCCCCAAGCCCCGGCAGAAATTCTGTGGCATGTTCTGCCCGGTGGAAGGGTCCTCGGAGAACAAGACCATCGACTTCGACTCGCTGTCGGTGGGCAGGGGCTCGGGGCAGGTGGTGGCTCAGCAGCGGGACGTCGCCCACTTGGGCCCGGACCCGCAGCCGCCGTACTCCCGGCAGGGCCGGCGTGCCGGCGGGGAGCCATCTGTTGAATCGGGCCGGAAGGTGGCGATCCGGCGGGCCTCGGGCAAGGAAGCCCTGCAGAACGTCTACGACCAGGTGGGTATGGGGGAGGGGAGGCCGGAGAAGGAGGACGGGGCTCGGGGATCGCCCCTCCCTCGCCTCCCAGAGTGCCCACCGTCCTGCCCCTCCCCAGATCTGTGCCAGCACCCCACCCTACTCTACCCTTCTCGAAGGGTGCGGAGAGGCTCCGGCTGGGCGGTGGGCGGTGGGCGATGCGCCCACAAAGGCTGCCGGTGCTTATCTGGGTCTGGGAGGTGGAGGGGGGAAGGATGGGCCGATCTCCGGCTGGGGGATCGCAGGGTGGGGTGCGGGGATGGGCGGCGGTTCCATTCTTCTTACACCCTCCCGGGCGGCTCCCTGCTGCAGCTGTGGCCTGGTGTCCCACCCTTTTCCGATGCAGCTCGGAGCGTGCGGTGGAGGCTTCGGGTAAAGGCCCGCGGGCTCCCCGGGGGTCGGGAGGGGCGGGCGGGGGCTCAGACCGCTGCTCCCGCCCGCGCCCAGCGCGCTCTCCACCGCACCTTCTCGCGCTCGCGTCCGGAGCTGGAGGCCAGGACCATGGTCAGCGGCTCCCGCACCGCCTCGGAGAATCTCGTCACCCTGATTCCTGTTCGCAAAGTGAGAAGAACCAGGGAGGCGATGGAGTCACCCGAGGAAACCCTGACGCTCCTAAATAGCCCATATGCAGAGCAAAGTTCCGCTAAGTCTCTCAGCAAGGGCGTCCCAGAGCCCCCCCTCCACCCCCCGCCCTATTTGGGAGGCGCTTTGGAGATGGGGACTAAGTGAATTATGTTCAAAGGGTGAAAAGAAAAGGGAAAAACACCTTCACAGTTTGAATAGGTTGTCAAAGATGGATTGGACCCCCTATACTGTGTTAATGGGGAAACAAAGAGAACCAATATAGTAAACCTTGATTTAGAAAATGTTTGTCACCTCTGGCAAAAATGAACAGTTTGTATTTTAAGTGAAGTCATCTTCTCACACCAGTTTTTTTTTATTATCAGTGTGACCCTCATACTTGTGCAGCCGCCCCCCCCCCCCCCCCAACACACATACACACAAACCGTAATTTCTCAACTGATGAATTACAGTGTGAAATGTTTTAACACTTGTTTGCTGTTTCTCTCCCAGGCCCATTGGTGAAGACGAGAAATGAGTCAATGATTGATTATTGAATATCTATTATGTACCTTGCCTTGTGGGGCTGGGGGAAGGTTAGCTATATAAAAAGTTCAAGGCAATTTTTTCCTAAGGGCTTCTAAGTAGTTGGGGGTGGTCTCTACATATTCACTGAATGATTCCACAGTCATTTCTTTGGCTCAACATTCAGGGTGTGTGCTGACAATGAACACATCAGAAAACAATTAACAGTTGGTGATAATGGCCCAAATATGTTACTGTTTCCTGATGTAGCATGGAGTGTGGCAGCCCTTCACTTTTATTATAGTCTGAGTGCATAATGTTGCATTTGAAATTCTACAACTATATTGAATTTTTTACAATTTAGTAAAACAACATGTACCCAACTTTAATGAGTACTTTCACATTTAAATACTGTCAAAGTTAGAGAATGTTATTTAAATTATTATCTGCTCCTTTAAGTTTTTTTTTTAGCTCTTCACTTTTATAGGGCCAATTCTAGAAAAGAGAAACCATTTGCTGTCATTTTAAAAAGATAGGGCAACTAATTACTTAATTGATTCCTCTTTCCACAGCCCTGTCCTCTGATCTATTCCTATAGGGGAGTGCTTGATATCCTTATTTCACTGTGAGTCAACCAGAAGAACTTAATCCAAAAAAACTCACTTTTTACCAAGTCATTACACAAACTTTGACAATTGAAGTAAAGTTTTTCTTTAAAAAAAGATATTGATTGATTGTGTGTGTGTGTGTGTGTGTGTGTGTGTGTGAGAGAGAGAGAGAGAGAGAGAGAGAGAGAGAGAGAGAAACATCAATAGGAGCAAAACATTGATTGCCTCCTGCACGCCCCCTACTGGAGATCAGCCCACAATCTGGGCATGTGCTCTGACTGGGAATCAACCTGAAACCTTTTGGTGAATGAGACACCACCCAACCAACTGACCACACCAGCCAGGGCTGAAGTAAAGTTTCTAATAGTGAAAGCTGAGTGAGTGTGAAATACTTCCCTATGTGAATACAATGGGTGGGGGCAAACCATGATCATATAGCATCATGGCTCTGTGAGTATTTTTGCCTTCAACACATTGTGCTTGCTGGTGATCCTAATGACCTAAAGAGAGGAGAAAAATGCCTTGAGATAAGGAAGAGATCTTTTTTTTAAAAAAAAAAATAGCAGTTCAGGGGATGGAGATTAAAAGTGGCCATCTTGATAATGATGTCAGTGAATTAAAATTAAATTTTGAAAGGCAAAGTTTCACTGAGTTGAATAACATCTCTTGTTCTGTTCATTTAGAATCTTAGATATTTGATCATCAGAGCTATGAGTCTGAACACGCTCCAAATTTAACTGAAGTTCTAAATTGTAAGCCTAGGTTATATGAAAGAGAGAGATTTGAAGAGGAAATACCCAGCCAAACTCCAGGCAGTTTTAGCCTCTGCAAACCCACTTTTGTACCAGAGGGTGATTCTGGCTTGGTCTTCTGCAGCCTTTTCTGAATTTTATTTTATTTTTTTAATTTTCATTTTCAATCTTGCCTTATCACATAAGGGTTGTTCCTATGGGATTTGTTTCATTCATGACTGGGAGTATTTACCAGGATCAGTACTTACAGTGTTTGAATATATATTTCACGTTTATACAAGAGAACAAAGGTGTGTGTGTGTGTGTGTGTGTGTGTGTGTGTGTGGTGATTTCCAAAAGCGTAGTTGGACCCGCCATTTTGACTGAACAAGTGGCCATTACTTAGTTTTCAGCTAATGAGCAGGGTGATGACCAGCACCTCAGTGCATGCCTATCTGGAGCCCTAGCACAGAGAGGTGGGGAACTGAGCAAGCGGATTGAGGCCCCGATTCACCCCCCTCCTCCTCCCTGAATCTTTGTTTGTGGGTGTTCTTAATGCCTGGTCACAGAAATGGCTTTGTTCACCTTTGCACTAGGGGTTCTCCTATTCCTTTAGCAAGGCTTCGGGAAGGGAGGGAACAGGCTTCCTTAGCCCAGATGCAGCATGGCTTGTGGGAGACCAGGAAAAGCGTCTGAGCAGGTCAGCACTAGGAAGCACTGGGCGTGGCTAGGGCTGGGCTGCTAGGTTTTGGTGAAGGGCAAGAGCCAGTGTTGTGAATGCAAATAAGAAAAGCTTCTATCTCATTACTGTCTTTTTTCTTTTTGTCCTTGGGGAAGTCCACCTTGGGCTACAGTGAGGTTAGGTTGATGACCACCTGTGAAGGACTCGAGCCCCTTGGGACAGAGAGCAGAAGGTCAGCACTGCTGGCCAAATCTCCCTTGCCAGTGCCCTGGGGTTCCTCAGCCTCCTCCTTCCTCTTAGGAATTCCTCCATTGCATCATTCAGCTTAGCCAGGACCAGCTATTCCACCAAGGAAATTAGATTATGAGCATCCCGTCCAAAGGAGCTCCCAGGCCCTTCTCCCAGCAGCAAACAACCTGCGTAGGCTAGAGTAGCAGGGGAGTGATTCTCCACTTTCCAGGGCAGGTGCCAGTCTGTGAACTACCCAAGAGTACTGCTGAACTTGACAAAATCACCAGCTCTGTAAAATGCTTTCTTATATTCCTTTCCATTCTGTGTCCCCATCCCCTCTCCCCATATTATCTCCCAACACTGGCTGCCCCGTGACTCTGCTGCCCTCGTACTGTTCAATGCTACCCCTACCCCACCCTGATCATGATGCTTTTTCTAGATCTTTCTTCCTCCCAAAGGAACAAATTCTGAAATCACTCCCTTCCCCTTTGCCTTCCTCTGTCTCATTCAAAATTCCTGCCTTGTGTTAATCTTAGCTAGGGAGAAATCCCAGTGATTGAAGGCATCCATACCTTCTGTGAATGACTGCTTCACAAGCTGTCCCTAGAGATGCTTGTTTGATAGTAGGCTAGCACTAGCCTGTCCAACAAAAAGAACGTCTAGTTAGCACAATGTGTGGTAGAGACTTGGCTGGGAGCCTAGAACAAGAGTATTGATTTGATACTTTAGAGGGCACATTGTTTCAAAAGAGGAGGTGCAAATGTGAACAAATGTGCTCAGGATCCCCCCCAAAACTATGACCCATCTGGGTTCAAAGGGAGAGGGATGCTTGGGAGGAGAAGGAAATGGTGATAATCGATAATTATTGGTTGCTCTTGATTTCCCAAATGACTATTGAAGTAATCAGATAATTAGTTAA